ACGAGTGATGTTGAACATTTTTTCATATGTTTGTTGGCCATCTGCATTTCCTCTTTGGAGAAATGTCTTTTTAGCTCTTCTGCCCATTTTTTGATGGGATTGTTTATTTTTGTTGAATTCCATCAGTTCTCGATATATTTTTGTGATCAGTCAGACCAGCTTTTTTTTTTTACAAGTGTGTCCTATTGGCTATGAGAAGAACTAGGTGAGAACATAGTCTTTCTGTGCTAACACACAATTCAGTACTGTGAACAGCAAGTTGCTAACTTGGGCTTTCATACGTGAACATGAACTTTCCATAGGAGTATGTGTTGAGAGGCTGAATAGATAAACGAAGGTAGCTCAAACCTGAGGCTAATAAGATCTCAGGAAGGTGATGGTGGGCATCCCAGGACTAAGACATGCTCTTTCAGAGAAGAAATGCTTACCGAGTTGACTGATAGTAGGATAACTCAGGAAGTTGGCTAACCTATAGAAAAATACCTAAGAAGCTAACACCAAAATGAGGGTGGTGTTTGATTATGATGACAGGCGGAGAAGGAGTTTTGTCATACTTACTGAATTTGGGAACTTAAATTTTAAAGCACATTACCTGTTATCTTGCTCGGTCCACTCAGCAACCATACGATGTAGGCACTGTTATTTTTGGGATTTCTGTGTTTCAGAGAGTTCTTAGTCTCTATGTGACTTGTACTCTCCCAGCCAGAACTGCTCAGGAGTCATAGTATTGTTGGCTTTGGAAAATGTAGGTAATTGTCCCTTCTCTGTGCTTTATTCCCAGGTCACAAGGCACTTAAAGCATTGTTGAGATCATTGGTAGATCTGCAGGAAGAGCTGCTGTTCCAGTATCCAGACACCAGATATCTTGTAGCTGGGACAAAGCCTAAAGTGGAAAGGTAAGAAGTGAGTGGAACTGTGGAGTTGCTTGGTTTTTATCTGTTTTACTAGTTTCCTAGTCTTTTTTTTTTAAGTTATATTTTTGAAGATTTATTTATGCATGCATGCAGAACTGGGGTACAGGCCATAGGTGCAGGGGCAGTGAGAAGATTCACCAGAGGCAGAGTGGGGAGCAGACAGAGATTGAAGAATTAAGCTGATGAGGGGAGCAGTGGGTGAGACAGGAGAGGTCTGCTGTGCTATGTGGGTCACCTCCGGGGCCAGGGATTGAACTCGCACTGAAGCGGCCGTGGCCAGCACAGTTTCATATTAATGCTTAATTGATGCTGTGGAGCACTCTGTGCTTGCCCTCGAATTACTGGCTACACCGTCTCCTTTTCAGTGACAGGTAGTGATTTGGGAGGGGGAGAGTAAGCCTTTTTCTTTTCTGATACCATGTTTGATGAAGGTTTTACCCCTTTTGAGCCTGCAGCACATGGTTCCTGCTTGTTGTTTTTTCTTGGGTTTATTCTTTGCTTCATTCTTTCCTTCTGAATTAGATGGAAGGATAAAAAGGAGCATCACTGGGGTCCAGTAATAGTGGACCCAGTGGGTACAACATGGCATTTGCATATGTGCACTTAAGTGCTGACTCTGTTGCCTATTCCTTTGAGTTTTTTTCGTAGTCAGCTTCTCTTCATTTGGTTTGACTAATATTATTTGGCTTTCCTGGACAATTGGTAACAGCGAGACACATTTCCCAGATTGATTTGGAGTTTAAGGTCATGTAAGTATGATTATGTGTTTAATTTTTAAAGACCCTCTTGTAATAGTGTGGGCCTGGTTCATAGGCATTTTTAATAATGTTTTTACAGCCTCATTTATTTTTACAGCTTGCTTATATTTTAAAGAATATTTTGAAATGAGTGATTTTTAATATGTATCTGAAAATTTAATTTGAGGATTTGATTGACCTCATGAACATTCTTTTCAAACAAATAAACAAAAATTCTCATCCTCACATCTCTGGTGTTATTTAAAATGTTGATATGGTAGGGAAGGCCTGAATACTCCTGACTCCATGTGAGCCTAGTTTTTTATTTCAACAGTTTATTTACCTTGGACATCATGTTCTTATGGGTTTTCTAGTGAGGAGGAGATTTCCAGTGGCGATGAAGAGCTAGTAGAAGAGAAGAAGAAACAGAGAAGGGCCCCACCAAAGAGGAAGCTGGAGATGGAGGACTACCCCAGCTTCATGGCAAAACGCTTTGTTGACTTCACAGGCTACAGGAACCGCACACTTCAGAAGTGGCATGATAAAACTAAGCTCGCTTCTGGAAAACTGGGGAAGGCAAGTATGCGTGTAAGATAGTTTGTCTGCAATCCGAAGCAGCTTAAGAAATTGAAACTACAGCTTTTGTAGGGATAATGTCATGAGAAAATGGTAATCAGTCATATCTGCAGGAAAACTTAACTTCTCCCATTGGGGTTTATGCCATTCAGGCTTGGAATTTTAACTTTATTAGAAAGAATATTTTGTCCCTGAAATTGGGGGCGGGTAAGTATTCTGCTGTTGAATACAACATTTTCAAATGTTGAAAATTCAAAATACTTTAAAGAAATAGTTTCTAAAACATTATTATTAAAGGAAGATAAGTCAATCTCTGGATACAGGAAAGTAAAATGAGCAGCTTAAGGCTCATTTTTTTTCCCCCCTGAGAACAAGTACATCCATTCACACACTTGGCCTTTAACAGAAAGTCATTCCTGGAAAGGATTGTCTACTTCTCTGCTGACACAGGAGATAGAGAAAGCAGCGCAGCTGCCTTCAGCACAGACTTTCTGCGTTATCTGACATTGGTTAATGTTGTTGCAGGGGTTTGGTGCCTTTGAACGTTCAATCTTGACTCAGATCGATCATATTCTGATGGACAAAGAAAGATTACTTCGAAGGACACAGACCAAGCGCTCTATCTACCGAGTTCTTGGCAAACCTGAACCAGCAGCACAGCCTGTGCCAGAGAGTTTGCCAGGACAGCCGGTAAGAACTGTGATGCAGGTGATTAGGAGGAGCAGTTTATATGAGGCTAATTAACTGAAAAGCCTGATTGTAGGTATTCCTGTTGGCATAAGAAGGTAGTGAAGTAAAGGAATAAAGGAAAAAGGTACTGCTTTGCTAGGTTGTTGGATAACAGTGGGAGGAGAAAGTTTTTAGTGGAGCACCATTAACGACTTGTGTATGTAGTTTTCTTTTAATTTAAGTTTAATGAGTCTGGTAGAAGTATTCTTAACCTCATTTTTAAAAGTCAAGTTTTAAAACTGCTTCCTTAGAAATGTTAGTATTGAAGTGAATGTCTGCTTGAGCTTTATGTTAGACATTTAGATAATCCAGAAAAGGATCCAGAATTGGAATAATCAAATTATTTTTGTTTAAAGGAAACTTATTTATAGAAAAAAATGTTTAATACTTTTTTAAGTTCATAAGAATTTAATATGGAAAGTAAAATTCTCTCTAATCAGAAGTTATACTACTCAGATTTAATTAATGTTCACAGCTGTTAACAAGCTTGAGGTTTTTATTCCTATTTACATAAAAACCTCTATCTCTAAACATATATATGCACATAACACTGATAAATAGATAAAAATATAGTTGTCCTTTTTTCGCTAATGTTATACGTGTGTAAATATAGGAATGCTGTAAATATATATAAAATCTTAACCACTTTTTAAATTTAATATGTCCTATGCACTCTTCCATATCATTTCATAGTGATCTATCTCAGTTTTCCTAGTGACTTCATAGTATTCCATTGCATGTAAGCAAATTTATTCAAACAGTGGGTATTTATGTGTCTTCAGTTTGGGAAACAATGCTGTAGGAAACATTCCTGAGCATTTAGATTTTGTATTTGTGCGACATAGGTTTCTTGAAGTAGAAATGTCAAAAGAAAATATACTTTTGAAATTCTGAGAGAGGTATTGTCAAATTGCCTATGAAAAAGAATACATTTCTTTCCAGTCACACCACCTATGTTTTCCAACATTGAGTGTTGCCAGCCTATTGGTGAAAATGGTATTTTCTCATTTTAATTTGCATGCATTTAATTAGAATGAAATTAAATGTTTTCATTTGATTATTGACTGTGATGCTTTTTCTGTTGCTCACATTTTAATTGGACTGTTCTTTAATTTTAAGAGTTCTTTATGTCTTAAAGCATACAGTGCTTTTACAATCATACACATTACTTAGAGTAGCTATAGTCCTTTGGTCACCTCACTGGATTTCATGCTTCCTTTTTTCTCATTGTTGTAGGAAGTCCTTCCTCAGGCCCCTGCCAATGCTCACCTGAAGGACTTGGATGAAGAAATCTTTGATGATGATGACTTTTACCACCAGGTGAGATTTTTTTTTTACACTCTTCTTTTGTTAAAAATCAAGTTTTAGTATTTTAAAAACAGTTGGTAGAATTTTCTGACCAAACGGTGACTTACTTTGGAGGGAGAATAGAGTCAGGGAGTTAGAATTGTTGTGCTCAAAATTGACCTACTGTGTAGTTCTGGGTCTACGCTTCTATCTTACATTTTTCCTGTTAAAATGAAAGCTTCTTTCATTGTCACAAGTGTAAAACAATTTCAGCTGCTGTGCGTTGGGTGGTTTCTTTTTGATAATGTCAGTGGAGGTTTTTTTGTTAGTTATTTGGCTTCTTACTCTGTCTCTATGACATCAGCATATGTATGTGCTGACATTGTCATCTACTGTTGATTATAGTAGAAGTATAATACAATATATACTATAATATAGTATAGTATAACAATAGTGCTTTGAAGGCAGAAAGAACATTGGTAGAAGTTGGAATATTGTCCAGCTCACAGCCTTTTCACAAATGCCCTTCATTTCTTTCTCTGGCATTTTATCTGCTGGCATGATGCTCTTTTCATTGATGCTAGTGACTGTTGAGGTAGACTGAACATTTGGGCTCTTCTAAAGAATTGAAATAATTTCCTGTTATCCTGATAAATCATACTTCTTAATGAAATGTGCTTTTCCTTTCTCTGGAATAGTGAAGATGTTGTTCATCAGTGATTGCTCCAGTATTTCTTAAGTCAGTGCTTTTCAAGATAATTTTTTTTCCTCTACTGAATTTTTAATGTGTGAACTTTTGTCAGGGAATTTGCAACTGCTTCTTGAAAGTTTAGTTGTGGTGGCTATACTATGTACATGGAATATGAAGGATGGAACTGAGGGAAATTAAACTGTGGAAGCCAGTGGAACAAGTGTTTCACAATTAGTGATGACGCTGGTTTTGCCTTGAAAAGAAAAAAACTCTATGAGTCTTTCTAGTCATTATATAAAGTTCACTAAAATTATTGCCATAAATGAATTCTAAATTAATGATGAGAAGGTATAAGAAAGAGGATTGGTATGGCCTCAGGTGTTCCTTGTCAGAATGCCTGATTCTTTTTTCCTTTTTTTCTCTTATTATATCCATTTGTCAGGAGGTTAGGGAACTCTGTTTTGTTCCAGGGTATATTAAGAATGTACCTGATATGGGATATTAATGCTGTATAATTGTGTGAGATCATGGGAGATGATCACAAATGTTCCAGTCCTCATTAATGAAATATACATTGTTTGTTGGAAGGTGTATCAGACATTAAGTAGGTTTAATAAAATAAACTGAAATTACTGGAGAAGTTGCTTCTACTGACAGTCCTCAGTCAGGAAGATTATTTTTCCTTTTTTCTTTTTTGCCTAGAGGTCTGTTTAAAAAGAAATCATATTACTCGATTGGCCCTTCATCCCAATTAATAATTTTAACTTCGATAAATTCTGATTTCAGAGTTATGACTAGTCACATCTTAGCTTTTCCCCTTGCTGGTTAATTGGGGTGCTGGGGTTAATCTAAATTAAAACTTAAACTAATAGAGGTCAGCAAGGCAGCTGAAACACCTGAGTGAAACAAATGGGGCTGCCAGGCGCAACTTTATCTTGGCTGTTTCCCAAGAGGGAAGTGGCAGCAAATTGGAGTTGTTTCAGCCTTCTGTAAAGGTGAATGATGGGTGACACTTGTTAATGTACAGCATCTCCGGAAGCATTCCAGATTGCTTTGCTGCTGCACCAACTGCTGCCATCAGTGCACAGTCAGTAGGAACTGGACCAGTTGCCAACATCTGGCAGCACAGCAAGGAATGGGTGCAAGTCTTAAAACCCCTGCAGATTCTAAATATGGTGCTTAGAACTGTGCAGGCTTTAATCACTTACCACTCTTTGGCAGCAGGCTACGACAGCTTATCCTAGCCTCGTACATCACATCCCGACATCTGCTGAGCCGCAAGGCAGCTGCACATTCATTTTCTTTTCTTGCCTTTTCTCTTTGCCTCCTATTCCTCCTCTTCTTCCCACTTTCCCCTGCCTCCCTTCAGTACTCCTCCCCTCCCCAGTATGCTTCTTGGGAGAGATGATCTATAAAGATTACTGCTTCATTGTGTGCAAGTAATTGTGGTGATGCCAGGCCCTTGACAGACACAACGTAGCACCTGTTCTGCTGACCTGGTTAATTTCTTCTGTTGAGTGGGATTTGCCAGAGATTGGAGCTGAAGCCAATTCAGTGATAAGGCTAAAGAAAATGGTTGTGTGTTTTCTGTCACCTCCCAATTAAATTGGCTTCATAAAGTGCTTTCCTTTATTTGTCAGGGTAGTAAGCCTAAGTTAAGTGTTGTAATCAGAAGTGGTACAATGTATTGCAATGGGACTGAGTTTTCATTTGTGTGTGTAAGAGTGTGTTTTTCTTAATGTGGTCATGTGGAAGAGCTGGGTGGTGAATATAATACATGTTGCCTTTTTTTTTTTAACCATACTTGAAGCCAGATTCTGTGGGTCCATGTTTTGTAAGAAAGAGATTATAGCCACGTTGAATTTTAATGTTTCATTGTGAGGGCTTAAAGGCTTACTTGGTTAATTCAGGTGTCATGAGGCTGTGTAAATGCTGTAACTGTTGAGAGTGATGTTCAGGGTCAGAACACTCAAAACCCCACCCCATACACATTTATACTCTCATTCTCTTTGTTTCATAATGAGTCTTAAGCTACTACAACTTTAAAAATGTCTGTATTCAATAAAGGTACAACATGTATGTGTGTGTACATATACATAGTGTGTGGGAGAGGCACTAAAGAGTATCAAATATTATAAAATATATCACTTTTTAAACTGAAAAGAATACCACAAGAAACCGAATTCCTGAGAAACTAAGTAACTTCCTGAAAGTCTATAGTAAATAGCAACACCTAGTACTTGATTTCAAGATTTTATAGACCAAGTCTCATTCTTCCTATAACTTCATTTCTTAAAAGTCTTGTGCCATATAAAGACTTCACTGTAGCATTACAGTTTTTATTTTGTAAATAAGATGCATGTTCCTAGAACTGGAAACTTGTGTCAGAAAGTAATTTTTTTTTTTCCTAGAAGGCAAACAGTTTATTGAACTGTTACTTAACAGTTCTAATGAAGAAACTAGCTTCACAGTTGTATTACTGGTTTGTCTGGAAATCAGAATTGCTGGAAACTTGAAGTATGCCCAGTGGTGAAGATTACCAGGGAACATCACCTGCTGAAAGCATTGCAGTTTTACTCTCAAATGAAATTAGTTTGCATTTGCCTATTTCTTGTCAAAGCTCATCTCTAAAGATAATTTTGTAAGACATGTGAAGATTACTACCAGTGATGAAGGATAAGCCCTTCAGAAATGTTTTCAGCATCTGTTTTTCAGTTTCATGATCTCATTTTCTGTTTTTTAACATTAAGTTCTTGTAAGATGTGTTGTCTATGTTACAGTTTTAAATTTTTCTTCTGATTTGATTTGCTTTTTTTTAGCCATCAGTTGATCTTTGACTTGATAAGCTTGAGTTCTTGAAAAATTGAGTGAAGGACTAACATTTACTGAACACTAGTTATGTGCTGAGTGCTGGAATAAGTAGATAGGTACTTGACGTCGATCTTTATTTAATCTTCATAAGATCCCTATATTGAGATATGTCTGTAGTTAGCAATACGCTATATAAAGTGACTGTTTTTATTCTTTCGTATCCTGGACCTCAGGACTAGTTTCTTGTCACAAAGATATCATGAGATATTTTGTCCTGAAAGAACTAATTGAACTTAGGTATTGACAGATCAATACCTGGATTTCATTAGGATTTTGTATGTTGCTTCTAGCTCTGTTTAGTTTTGATCTGGTTTGTCCTGTCACTTTGAATTGAAACAAGAGAGTCTGGAGAAAGGCATAATAGGTTTTGCTCTTTTGATGACCACTTTGATAGGTTAAATTTATCCTTTATTTGCCATTAGGACACGTCTATAACTGACCTTGCCACATGCTGGCCTTTTGTATCCAAGACACTTGATAATGCCATAAACAAGTAATTACTAATTCACTGAACTATTAAAAGTCAATAATGTTAAGAAATAAAGAAGAGGCAAGCTTTCTGACAAGATGGTTTACCTTAATTAAGTTGGTGGGTGATTAATATGGACAGTTGATGTGGTGGCTTTAATTGTATGCATTTAGATCTTAGCGCGAATAAGAGATGCCTCAAGCCTATTCCTACTATAATAACACTACACCACTCTTATTGTTGACATGTATCTTTCCCGTGGTTCAGTTTATATTTAATGACATGTTTGAAAACTTTGAGTTCAACACACTCCTTTTAATTCGTTATTGGAAAACAGATATTCAGAGATTTTAGTTTTACTTAAGTGCTACTACATGAGATGTACTTAATGTTTAATAAGTTTATCAGAATTTTAAAAAATATTACATACGTTTGAAAAATGAAATTGCAGTTAAAAAATAGCAGAGAATTAATCAGGGTTTTTGAGACATAGTAAAGATGTTTTAAAAAAAAAACCCACCTCAAAAATAAATAAAAATAAATAAAAAATAATGACCTGCTGTCAAAAAAAAAAAAACAAAACAAAAACCCCACCTCAAACCAAATACCAGTGTACAATTAAATCTCACTTTTAATAATTAGAAGATTATTTTGTGTACCATCTGTAGGAATTTTGTGACTTAGTTTCTGTGCTTTGTTCATGTTTGGTTCCAAATACCTATCAATGGTGACATCTGGTTGCTGGTATAGATTCACTATTGTAGCAGCTGTAAGAACAGGAGGTCAAAAGCCACATTTTAGATGCAAGATCCAGAAATTTCATCAAACACCAGCATCAAGGCAAGGTGTGCATGACTGGCGTTCATTTCCTTGCTGTATGAACATGAAAGCATGGTGCTAGTACTGTAACCTCCTTAAACAGTGATAAAGCCTCAGAACACTGTCTCAAACAGTACATTTCATGGAACTGTTAAGGACAGAGGCAAAATTGGCTTAGAGCTA